GCACATTGTGCACATGTACCCTAGAACTTAAAGTATAATAATAAAAAAAAGAATATCTGTCATTTGATATATTTTTCCTCCAATTAAAATACCTCTAATAGTAGTTTAGGGTCTTCATTCTTAGTTTTAAAGATGTAGAAAACTATTTCTCACTTACCTGGGCAAAATAAATGGCCATCTATAGCTCTTTTCAGGTCTTCTTTTCAGGAAAGGATCAAGTCTTGTGCTCTTTAACCTCTTCCCTGATGTGCCTATATGAAGAGTGGGGAGGCCTGGCTTGGCAGCAGTTCATGTGAAAAATAACAACGCACCTTAAATGATCATAATTTTTGTGTGAGGCAGCAGTGTGTTGTGGTGGCCATAAATGCTAATACAGACTTAGGCTTTATCAATGAAAGATGTGAGGATATGGTTTTCTTACTGCACCTTATGCATCTAGATCATGTCTAGCACACTGTATTCACTTTGAGGGACTGAGACTGAAGCTGGGCATTGACAACATAGGATACAGATGACTAGGACAGCAGTAGGTCAGGAAGTCTGTCATTCATTAAATATTTGAAAGGACTGAGGGTGTTTTGCTTAGGAGGACTCCAAGGTATATTAGTCCATTTTTGTGCTGCTGATAAAGACATACATGAGATTGGGCAATTCACAAAAGAAGGAGGTTTAATGGACTTGCAGTTCCGCATGGGTGGGAAGGCCTCACAATCATGGCAGAAGGCAAGGAGGAGCAAGTCACATCTTACATGGATGGTAACAAGCCAGAACAAGAGAGCTTGTGCAGGGAAACTCCATCTAATAAAACCATCAGGTCTTGTGAGACTTATTCACTGTTATGAGAACAGCACAGAAAAGACCTGCCCCCATGATTCAGTTACCTCCCACTGGGGCCCTCCCACAACACGTGGGAATTCAAGGTGAGATTTCGGTAGAGACACAGCCAAACTGTATCATTCCACCTCTGGCCCCTCCCAAATCTCATATCCTCACATTTCAAAACCAATCATGCCTTCCCTACCATCCCCCAAAGTATTAACTCATTTCAACATTAACTCAAAAGTCCACAGTCCAAAGTCTCATAGGAGACAAGGCAAGTCCCTTCTGCCTATGAGCCTGTAAAATCAAAAGCAAGTTAGTTACTTAGATACAATTGGGTAAATACACCCATTTCAAATGGGAGAAATTGTCCAAAACAAAGGGACTACAGGCCCCATGCAAATTTGAAATCCAGTGGGGCAGTCAAATCTTAAAGCTCAAAAAATGATCTCCTTTGACTCCATGCCTCACATCCAGCTTACAATGATACAAAAGATGGGTTCCCATGGTCTTAGGCAGCTCTGCCCTTGTGGCTTTACAGGGTACAGCCTCCCTCCTGGCTGCTTTCATGGACTGGCATTGAGTTTCTGCAGATTTTCCAGGTGTGTGGTGCAAGCTGTGGGTGGATCTACCGTTCTGGGGTCTGGAGGATGGTGACCCTCTTCTCACAGCTCCACTAGGTGGTGCCCGAGTAGGGACTTTATGTGGATGATCCGACCCCACATTTTCCTTCTGCACTGCCCTAGCAGAGGTTCTCTATGAGGGCCCCACCCCCACAGCAAACTTCTGCCTGGGCACCCAGGTGTTTCTATGCATCTTCTGAAATCTAGGCGGAGGATGCCAAACCTCGATTCTTGACTTCTATGCACACATAGGCTCAACACCACATGGAAGCTACCAAGGCTTGGGGCTTCCACCCTCTGAAGCAACAGCCCAAGCTATACCTTGGCCCCTTTTAGTCATGACTCAAGTGACTGGGACACAGGGCACCAAGTCCCTACACTGCACACAGCAGAGGGACCCTGGGCCTGGCACATGAAACCATTTTTTCCTCCTAAACCTCTGGGCCTTTGATGGGAGGGGCTGCTGCAAAGGTCTCTGACATGCCCTGGAGATATTTTCCCCATGGTCTTGGGGATTAACATTAGGCTCCTCATTACTTATGTAAGTTTCTATAGCTGGCTTGAATTTCTCCTCAGAAAATGGGATTTTTCTTTTCTATCACATTGTCAGGCTGCAAATTTTCCAAACTTTTATGCTCTGTTTGCTTTCTAAAACTGAATGCCTTTAACAGCACCAAAGTCAACTCTTGAATGATATGCTGCTCAGAAATTTCTTCTGTGAGATATTCTAAATTATCTTGCTCAAGTTCAAAGTTCTGCATACCTCTAGGGCAGGGGTAAAATGCCATCATTCTCTTTGCTAAAACATAACAAGAGTCACCTTTGCCCTAGTTCCCAACAAGTTCCTCATCTCCATCTGAGACCACCTCAGCCTGGATTTCATTGTCCATAACATTATCAGCATTTTGATCAAAGCTGTTCAACAAGTCTCTGGGGAGTTCCAAACTTTCCCACATTCTCCTGCCTTCTTCTGAGCCCTCTAAACTGTTCCAACCTCTGCCTGTTACCCAGTTCCAAAGTTGCTTCCACATTTTTGGGTATCTTTTCAACAGCACCCTACTCCTGGTACCAATTTACTATATTAGTCCATTTTCATGCTGCTGATAAAGACATACCTGAGACTGGGCAATTTATATAAGAAGGAGGTTTAATGGACTTACAGTTTCACATGGCTGGGAAGGTCTCACATTCATGGCGGAAGGCAAGGAGGAGCAAGTCACATCTTACGTGGATGGTGGCAGGCAAAAAAAGGAGAGCTTGTGCAGGTAAACTCCTTCTTATAAAATCATCAGGTCTTGTGAAACTTATTCACTATCATGAGACCAGCATGGGAAAAGATCTGCCCCCATGATTCGATTACCTTCCACCAGGTCCCTTCTACAACACATGGGAATCAAGATGAGATTTGAGTGGGAACACAGCCAAACCATATCACTAGGGTAGCTGACAGGAATCTGCAAATGAAAGAGGTTGTAGATTCATTATGGTTCCAGATGGCACAACTACAGACCTTGGAAAACAATGAGATGGAGTTTCTCTTTGGGTATATATATACCCAAGAGATTATATATATATACACACACACATAATTTATTTATCTTTGGCTTAATATGAATACATTATATATTACATAATATATATTAAGACTGAATATATTAATATATGAATATATATATGGCAAATCCTCAAATAATGTCATTTTTTTCAGTATCATTTTGTTACCACTTTGATGAGAAAAAAAAAATCAATTCCCAGCTGGGGCCATATTCACTGTGGGGTCTGCACATTCTCACCATGCCTGCATGGGTTTTCTCTGGATTCTCTGCTTTCCTCTCATATCTCAAAGACGTTCATGTTAAGTGAATTGGTGTGTCTACGTGGTCCCAGTCTGAGTGAGTGTGGGTGTCTGGGAGTGCACACTGCAATAAGATGGTGTCCTGTCCAGATCTGATTCCTGCCTTGGGTAAATAATTATCGTATTTGATCTTATTAATCTTTCCTAACTGTATGTATAGCTCACATTTATTTCAATGTTTACTATTAGAAATGTTTTGGTCTTTATTTAGAAGTTTGGGGATACTTTTGTGGCCAGAAATATGCTGTAGGAACTTAACTCTTGTTTGTATCAATTAGCCTAGAGTAAAATTGGTTTCATTATATCTTGTTTCACTTAAAGTTGCACTTTCTAAAAATTTGCACTTTCTAAGAACTTATGGATAAGTGAGGACTTACTGTATATGAATGAATATATTACTATATGAATATATATGCATACATACACAATATACACATACTTGCACACACATGCACACACACATATGTGTGTGTGTCTGTGTATATTTATATGTAGTCTAGTAATGGATTAGACCTTAGAAGGGTCACTGAAGGTATTTAAGCTGAGGCTGGATGGATCTCTTCCAAGAGATAGTATAAACTGCATTTCTTTTTGGATTCATTAATTCATTAATTCATTCACTTCTTATGGAGCCACACACTGCTCCTAGTACTGTGGAGACAGATAAATACTGGGCAAGAAGTTGGATTAAAAAACTTTAAAGACCTCATTATATCTGTGGTCAAAAGAAGTTGCTTGATGCTTTGGTGTCCTTTACCCTAAGTGTAGAGCTCTGCTTGTGTATTACCCACTCTGTGTTTTAGATGCTCCTGTGTGTTCCCATCAATGTCTTCTGTGATGTGGAGTAGTACTTTATATCATTCTCTGAGTGGCTGTAGGCTTTAACATCGTGTGTATGACAATATTTTACCTCCCTACCTTTTTTGTTTTGCTTGCGACAAAGTCTTGCTCTGTCACCCAGGCTGGAGTGCAGTGGCACGATCTTAGCTCACGGCAATCTCCTCCTCCTGGGTTCAAGCGATTCTCCTGCCTCAGCCTCCTGAGTAGCTGGGATTACAGGCACCTGCCATCGTGCCTGGCTAATTTTTGTATTTTTAGTAGAGATGGGGTTTTGCTATGTTGGCTAGGCTGGTCTTGAACTCCTGACCTCAAGTGATCTGCCCATCTTGGCCTTCCAAAGTGCTGGGATTACAGGCATGAGCCACCGTGCCCAGTCATCTCCCTACCTTTGAACAAAGAGGTTAAAGTTGAATGTGAAGTCAGCTTTTGATAGAATAATGTTGATTTTTCATGGGAAACATTTAATTCCAGGCTAGGTGAATAGGTTTTTAAAGATTCAATATTTACCAGGAAGTATGAGAGAACACAATGCTTTTTAAATGTAAGGTGATATTATTTATTAACATTATTGGAAGTTCACTGCACTGCAAGCGTATATGGAAGAGTCTGGCTCCAAAGTTATGCTTTTATTTTTCTGAGGAAAGTTATAGTTTCTCCACACTAAGATACCGAATCTTCAACTTCAATATTTGTAAATTGACTATATATCTGGACTACTTCTGTTTCATTCTATAGAGATCAGATAGTATCAGAAAAAAGCAGAGGTGCAAAGAACAAAGTGTGCAGATTTAGAGGTGATATTGGGGTCTCTGTACATTATGTCCTGTCAAGTAAAGCCAGCTGTTCATTTGTTTCATGTCTAGGTTTGGAATTCACCCAGTTGCAGGCCGCATGCCTGGTCAGCTTAATGTGCTGCTGGCTGAGGCTGGAGTGCCATATGATATTGTGTTGGAAATGGATGAGATCAACCATGATTTTCCAGGTAAGTGATGGGGGCAATGGTGAAGTTTAAATATTCTTACTATGAATAAAGCAGTGCAGATTTGGGATATAAATTGTAGGTTAAGTGAAGACTGACTAGTCAGATGAAAAAGAACTTATACCTGGTAGATATTCAGTTGAAATTAAATAAGTGAAAGATAGTATTGAATAAGATACAAAAGATTCATAAACAGCACAGGTAAATTTTTCTCCCCTGTGAAGAACTGAAGGATGGTGAAAACCTTGGGGTGTAGTGTAGAGATACTGAAGACTGGGGATCTGGGCAGACCTGGCTTTTGAATCCAGATCCTGATTCTCAGTAGCTTGTTACTCAACCTCAGGCTCTTCATTTATGAGTGATTCTGTTGATAATTTAGTGTCTGATTCTTGCCAGTCTCTGAGATTTTACTGGTTTCCGATTGTACTAATGTATGACTGGTGAAGTAGTTTTCTCTTTCTTTTCTTTTTAAAAAGTACTAGACATTTGGGTTGATTCCAAGTCTTTGCTATTGTGAATAGTGCCGCAATAAACATACGTGTGCATGTTTCTTTATAGCAGCATGATTTATAATCCTTTGGGTATATACCCAGTAATGGGATGGCTGGGTCATATGGTACATCTAGTTCTAGATCCTTGAGGAATCGCCATACTGTTTTCCATAATGGTTGAACCAGTTTACAATCCCACCAACAGTGTAAAAGTGTTCCTATTTCTCCACATCCTCTCCAGCACCTGTTGTTTCCTGACTTTTTAATGATTGCCATTCTAACTGGTGTGAGATGGTATCTCATTGTGGTTTTGATTTGCATTTCTCTGATGGCCAGCGATGATGAGCATTTTTTCATGTGTCTGTTGGCTGTATGAATGTTTTCTTTTGAGAAATGTCTGTTCATATCCTTTGCCCACTTTTAGATGGGGTTGTTTTTTTCTTGGAAATTTGTTTGAGTTCTTTGAAGGTTCTGGATATTAGCCCTTTGTCAGATGAGTAGATTGCAAAAATGTTCTCCCATTCTGTAGGTTGCCTGTTTACTCATGGTAGTTTCTTTTGCTGTGCAGAAGCTCTTTAGTTTAATGAGATCCCATTTGTCAATTTTGGCTTTTGCTGCCGTTGCTTTTGATGTTTTAGACATGAAGTCTTTGCCCATGCCTATGTCCTGAATGGTACTACCTAGGTACAGACTGGATTAAGAAAATGTGGCACATATACACCATGGAATACTATGCAGCCATAAAAAAGGATGAGTTTATGTCCTTTGTAGGGACATGGATGCAGCTGGAAACCATCATTCTTAGCAAACTATCACAAGAACAGAAAACCAAACACCGCATGTTCTCACTCATAGGTGGGAACTGAACAATGAGATCACTTGGACTCGGGAAGGGGAACATCACACACCGGGGCCTATCATGGAGAGGGGGGAAGGGGGAGGGATTGCATTGGGAGTTATACCTGATGTAAATGACGAGTTGATGGGTGCTGACGAGTTGTTGGGTGCAGCACACCAACATGGCACAAGTATACATATGTAACAAACCTGCACGTTATGCACATGTACCCTAGAACTTAAAGTATAATAATAATAAAAAATAAATAAATAAAAAAAGTAAAATAAAAAGTACTAGAATTTGCCTAGATAAAGTGCTGTACTTTATAGCTGTCATAGGGTAGATGTTGAATGGTAATGACATTTGGCCCAAGCCTATGCTTGTTAAAATTAAACCATTTCCCTCTTGCAAATATCCACTGTAAACTTAAAAAATGCTGTTTATTAGAAAAAGTAATGAAATTATGTGTATGTCTAGATTCACATGGAATTTTTTGGCAACATTCTAAGGTAGTTTATATTGCAGTTCTTAAAGAGAAAACTTAGGCCATTTTAATTTTATGTCCCTTTTCAGATTCCATTGTTGTTAAATTATGTGTAACACCAGCCAGTTCCAGGAATTATGGACATGACTTTAATGCAGATTTTGAGACCATTGTCTATTAGACATCAAACTGTATCTCAAGGGCTTATCTTATTTTCTTTTTATGTATCTTTTTTTAACTTTTATTGTAGATTCAGGGGTACATGTGCAGGTTTGTTACATGGTTATGTTGTGGGATGCTGAGGGTTAGATCTAGTGAGCATAGTACCCCACAGTTTTTCAACCCTTGCCCATGTCCCTCCCACCCCATTCTGGTAGTCTCCAAGTTCTATTGTCACCATATTTATGTCCCTGAGTACCCAGTGTTTAGCTCTCACTTATAAGTGAGAATGTGCAGTATTTGGTTTTCTGTTCCTGTGTTAATTTGCTTAGGATAATGACCTCCAGCTGTTTCCATGTTGCTGGAAAGGACATGATTTCCATCTTTTTTATGGCTGTGTAGTGTTCCATGGTGTATATGTACCACATTTTCTTTATCCAGTGCACTGTTGATCGACACCTAGGTTGATTCTATGTCTTTGCTGTTGTGAATAATGCTGCAATGAACATGCTAGTGAATGTGTCTTTTGGTAGAAAGATTTGTTTTCTTTTGGATATGTACGCAGTAGTGGGATTGCTGGGTCATGTAGGAGTTCTGAGTTCTTTGAGAAATCTCCAAGTTGCTTTCCACAGTGGCTGAACTAATTTACATTTCCACAAACAGTGTGTAAATGTTCCTTTTTCTCCACAGCCTTGCCAGCATCTGTTATTTTTTTGACTTTTGTTAATAACCGTTCTCACTGGTGTGAGATAGTAATTTCACTGTGGTTTTGCTTTGCATTTCTCTTATGTTTAGTGATGTTGAACATTTCTTCATGTTTGTTGACCACTTGTATGTCTTCTTTTGAGAAATGTCTGTTCATGTCTTTTGCCCATTTTTAAAATGTGGTTTTTTTTGCTTGTTGAGTTAAGTTCCTTATAGATTCTGGATATTAGACCTCTGTCCAATGCATGCATAATTTGTGAATATTTTCTCTCATTCTGTAGTTTGTCTGTTTACTCTCTTGTTAGTTTCTTTTGCTAGGCAGAAGCTCTTTAGTTTAATTAGGTCTCACTTGTCAATTATTGCATTGTTGCAATTGCTTCTGAGGACTTAATCATAAATTTTTCCCAAGGCTGATGTTCAGAATGGTGTTTCCTAGGTTTTCTTCTTCGATTCTTATAGTTTGAGGTTTAAGTGGTCATTTTAAAGGTTGAAAGTGGAATGCAAATTTCATAAAATCATGTGACACTATAGCAAGATCATTTTGAGATTAAAAAAGGGTTATAAAGTCAGATTAGTTAGATTTATTGAGAGGGGAGAAGCATAATAATACAGGCTGTAGTCAAGATAGTCAAGTTCAAATGCAAAACCTACTGCTTTTTTGCTGTGTGACATTGGCTGAGTTGCTTCACCTCTCTGATAAAGCTCCTTGTAAAGTGCCTGGCACAAGTGTGAATCCTATATTTTTGTTATTGTTATTATAAAGTAAAGATCACTATAATTTGTCTGAAAATATGTAAAAGTGACCCTTTGAGTTTTGTATTCTTTCTTTTTTCTTTTATTATATAGATACTGATTTGGTGCTTGTAATTGGAGCTAATGACACTGTTAATTCAGCAGCTCAAGAAGATCCCAACTCTATTATTGCAGGCATGCCAGTCCTTGAGGTCTGGAAATCAAAGCAGGTAAAGTTTCAGTCTTGTATTTCATTCTGATAATCAAAGGTTACTTAAAATATACACGCAGAACTTTCTTTGATCATTTGATAAGAAATGATGATGCCTTCTAGGAGGTCCAGGAGTAAGAGCGTGTTTAGGGCCCAGTTTCCTATGTCCAGCTTCTGTCTGTTCTCTGGCCACCAGAGAACCTGAGTGAATGCCCTAATCACAAGTAGAACCAGATGAGATTATGTGGGTGGATTAACAAAATCTGTAACCACAGCTGAAAAAAGAGCTGTGAGCTTTTGTATTGAGTCTGGCTAAATTCCAGATTGAGTCCTGTGAAGCAGATGGCTTCCCTCTGGGACAGTGAGTCAGTATCAATCGCCATCATATACCAAGATGAGCATATTTTTTTCATTTAACTTTCTGAAAGGGAATTTATAAGTTGTTATAGAGTGTCTAGCAGGAAGGTGATTTAGAAATCCAAACAATAACGTGGCATAAGGAAGCAAGCTTCATTCATGTATATTACTTCTGAAAAAGCTAATTGCTAGATTTTAGATAACTCAAAGGCTTGTAAATTTTCCTCTACCTCAGCAGTAGGTACATTTTACCACTACTGAGGCTCCTCTGCATTTAAAAAATCATAATAATGTACATTTCCATTTAATTTTGTTTCTTTTTATTGTAAATATGGGAGTTTAAAACTTAGTATTTGTGATGAGTGAGTAGACATAAAATATACTTGTTCATGTGCGTATGAAAAATTGTATCAGTAGTCAATATTTGAGAATTTGTGAAGTGCATTACTATACTAATGCTATAAGAAAAAGAATACATTTGCACTGCTTCTATTTTTTGATAGATTGCATGTCCTAGTAGACCACAGAAAAGCTTTTCATTTCATTAAGAACTGACTTGATATTCAGCAGGACAGCAACATCCATAACTCATGTCATTGTAAATGTCTATAACTTGTCAATATTATACGTTGACTTACATCTTCCGTTTTGATTTATAAGAACATTCTGTTATTAGCTCTGTTATTGTGAGAAGCTGGATTGCTCTTTGGGCTTTTATCCTAGAACTTTCTGATATACTTTAAAGTCATAGAAAAGAATAACATAGTTTTCCCACTCAACCTCATCCGTTTTAGAATTTGTAGTGGAAACTTATGCACTAAACTTGTTTTCTTTAGCACATTCATAGAAAAATGCTTATTTTGCTGACTAGAAAATGGTGTACATGGTCTTTATAGAGAAAAAAGCACTAAGAAGAAAATAATTGTAATCTTGTCACTCAGATAAATTATTAACATGACTTTTTCTCTAATGGATATAAGAATAAGGGCACACTTAAGTATTAAAGTTAATACAATGTAAACATATGTTAAAAATACTTCTTGTGTAAAGTCCCTGCACTAAATAATTAGTAGTGGTACATGCCTTGTTCAAAGGTAGTGAAGAACAATGTTTGTGTGCCTAACATATCCTACACAGGTCTGTTAAATACACTCTGTCATTTTATCTCTGGTTCTCAGGTGATTGTTATGAAGAGGTCTTTGGGCGTTGGCTATGCTGCAGTGGACAATCCAATCTTCTACAAACCTAACACGGCCATGCTTCTAGGTGATGCTAAGAAAACATGTGATGCGCTCCAGGCGAAAGTTAGAGAATCCTATCAGAAGTAAATATTAAGGATCAAGCTGTTGGCTAATAAAGCCACCTCTGCAGTTGTGGGAACAGGAAAATAAAGTATCAGTATACATGGTGATGTACATCTGTAGCAAAGCTCTTGGAAGAAAAGGAAGACTGAAGAAAGCAAAGCAAATACTGTATAGAGAGATTTTTCAAAAGCAGTGATCCCTCAATTTTAAAAAAGGATTGAAAATTCTAAATGTCTTTCTGTGCATATTTTTTGTGTTAGGAATCAAAAGTATTTTATAAAAGGAGAAAGAACAGCCTCATTTTAGATGTAATCCTGTTGGATTTTTTATGCCTCCTCAGTAACCAGAAATGTTTTAAGAAACTGAGTGTTTAGGATTTCAGGACTTAACATTATACATGGCTCTGAAATATCTGACACAATGTAAACATTGCAGGCACCTGCATTTTGTGTTTTTTTTTTTCCAACAAATGTGACTAATTTGAAACTTTTATGGACTTCTGAGCTGTCCCCTTGCAATTTAACCACAGTTTGAATTAACCATATCAAATCAGTTTTAATTTTTTAAACTGTACCTCAGAGTCTATATTTCAAGGGCATATTTTCTCACTACTATTTTAATACATTAAAGGACTAAATAATCTTTCAGAGATGCTGGAAACAAATCATTTGCTTTATATGTTTCATTAGAACACTAATGAAACATACAACTTGAAAATTAGTAATAGTTGTATTTTAGAAAATCCCATTTCTAATTGGAGATCTCTTTAATTTCAATCAACTTATAATGTGTAGTACTGTATTAAGTGCACTTGAGTGGAATTCAACATTTGACTAATAAAATGAGTTCATCGTGTTGGCAAGTGATGTAGCAATTATCTCTGGTGACAAAAGAGTAAAATCAAATATTTCTGCCTGTTACAAATATCAAAGGAAGATCCGCTACTATGAAATAGATGACATTAATCTGTCTTCACTGTTTATAATAGGGATGGATTTTCTTTCAAATCAGTGTATGTTTTGAGGTCTTATGTAATTGATGACATTTGAGAGAAATGGTGGCTTTTTTTTTTAGCTACCTCTTTGTTCATCTAAGTACCAGTAAAGATCATGTCTTTTTATACAAGTCTAGATTTTCTTTGTGACTTTGCTACTGTGACTAAAGCTCTAAATATAGGTGAATGTGTGATGAATACTCAGATTATTTGTCTCTCTATATAATTAATTTGATACTAAGTTTCTCAAAAAATTATTAACACATGAAAGACAATCTCTAAACCAGAAAAAGAAGTAGTACAAATTTTGTTACTGTAATGCTCGTGTTTAGTGAGTTTAAAACACACAGTATCTTTTGGTTTTATAATCAGTTTCTATTTGGCTGTGCCTGAGATTAAGATCTGTGGGGGGGTGTGTGTGTGTGTGTGTGTGTGTGGTAAAGCAGAAAAGACTTTTTAAAAAAGTTTTAAGTGATAAATGCAATTTGTTAATTGATCTTAGGTCACTAGTAAACTCAGGGCTTAATTATATCATGAATATTCCATTAGAAGAAAGTAAATACCATCTTTATTCCTGCCCTTTTCCTTCTCTCAAAGTAGTCATAGCTATATCTAGAAAGAAGCAATTTTGATTTCTTGAAAAGGTAGTTCCTACACTCAGTTTAAACTAAAAATAATCATACTTGGATTTATTAATTTATTTTTGTCATAGTAACATTTTTAATTTATATATATTTTTACTTAGTATGATCTTACTCTTTGCTATTTGCCAATCCTTTGTCATCAATTGTGTTAAGTGAATTGAAAATTCATGCTCTGTTCATTTTATTTTACTTTATTGGTTAGGATATTTAAAGGATTTTTGTATAAGTAATTTCTTAAATTAATATTCTAAAAGGTTAGTGGACTTAGATTATAAATTATGGCAAAAATCTAAAAACAACAAAAATGATTTTTATACATTCTGTTTCATTATTCCTCTTTTTCCAATAAGTCATACAATTGGTAGATATGACTTATTTTATTTTTGTATTATTCACTATATCTTTTTGATATTTAAGTATAAATAATTTTAAAAAATTTATTGTACCTTATAGTCTGTCACCAAAAAAAAAAAAAAAAAAAATTATCCATAGGTAGTGAAATGCTAATGTTGATTTGTCTTTTAGGGCTTACTAACTATCCTTTATTTTCTCATTTGTCTTAAATTAGGAGTTTGTTTTTAAATTACTCATCTAAGCAAAAAATGTGTATAAGTAAATGTATAATTTTTACACATTATATATGTGTATATTGCTACCCATGTATCTTTCTGGACAGTTTTCTAACATGTAGACTCTCATTTTATATTCTCTTTTTTTCTAGGAATTAGAATAGAGAGGGCTAATAGAGACTAATAATGTCTTCATGCAGTAGGCTTTTAGCCCTTTACTGAGTCAGGAAATATCAGTTAAGTATTTGGTAATGAATTTGGAAAGGGAACCGCGGCCTTTCTGATTCTACCCAAGTCATGACCCTAACTTTTAGATTTTGCCATATTCTTGCATCCAATATAAATATAAAATATATTATTTAGCAGTAAACTTTAAGGTTTCATACAATTTATCTGATCCCAAAGCTTTATTCTTTAAAAGTAGTAACTTGTGACTCATATGTTCATCTAACCGAGGGACAAATTTTCTAGTCCCTGAGGCATAAGTCTTGTGACTTAAAGCATTCGAGTACTGGAAAGCTCTTTTTTGTAACTAGGAAGAATAGTCCAAGTACCTAATTTATAGTTCACCAGTTTTTGAGAGCATTTGCCAACAAATATTATTCGGTGAGAATAGTAAACAACAACAATAAAAACCCAAAACCCTTCCCTTCAGTGGCAGCAACTTGCATAATCCAGCTGTTCTTTAGATTCTCAAAGGAAAGAAGAATTAGGCTAATTAACAAGGAGGAAAAGAATTTTTCTAAGTGAAACTTCTAAAGTATTGTTTAGTAAAGTAGCAGAAATGGTCACATTTGGATTTCAAAGCACTCAGAGTTCTTAAACTTTTGTCTCTTAGAAGTTACATATTAGGCTGAGGAATTGAACTTTTTTTTTATTATTTAAGTGAATTAGAGGCATTTAGCATGGCATATGTTGTAATTCTGAATGGAAATCTTTTGGATATTGGCAACAAAATGATGTATATGATGAGAACAGTAATTAGAGCAACCAATATTTGAAACTCCTATATATAATGATTAAGATAGTGGTAGAAAAAAATGGACCATAGAAGATAATTTATTTGGGGAAATAGTAGGGAATCCTAACGGAATGGTAGACAAAGCTAAGAACTTTAAAAGTTGAAACCCTAAATAGTGGGGAGATATTACATCACTGTCATGTTGATTGTGAATGCATATGACTGCCTCATCATTCTATGGAAAATATTTGTACTTCATGTTTTGCCAAAGATTACTGCCTTGAGCTCTGCCTTCCAGTTCTTGCCAAAAGCATATTTATGAAGGATAACACTAGTGTAAAAATTGCCTAAAAGATATAGAGTCCAGTTTGTCCCTGGATATTTCATATTTTATCCATAGACAAAACCAGCTCTTCAGAGATCTGGACAGTTAGGCCACATTGTTTGGGTCACTGTGAAAAACAGACATAAAGACATTGGAATGAAGAGAGTCAAAGTGATCTTGCTTGCCTAAGGTGACTGTGAATTCAGAGGGGAGTCCACGTGGCAGCAATAGGATAGTGGCAAGAAGTGGTTGTCATGGACTTTGAGAAGAGTTGAGGAAGGGGATGTGGATTTGGGGGAATGTAGGTCACACTTAGGATGATGGTGGATAGTTCTTTCCCCCATGGAGACTCATGGGCAAGGAAGTGGGGGCAAAGAAGTGGCGGATGCTTAAGTTTCCCCTATGTAAAGATGGAATATGAAGATCTAATAAACTTTTTGTCATCCTCCCTCCTGTTGCATTTGGGAATATGAAAAATACAAAGTATCAGTGTGATATGATGTAGGGAATAATAAAAACCTTTGGAAAAGGACCATTTAGAAATTGAAATAACGCCATTTTTATTCTATTACTTCATTTTTGGTTTACTATGGGAAAAGCAGAACTCAGGAATGTCTACAGTCAGGGATAGAATTAGACTCCACCAGTGAAGTTTTGCACTTCATATTTTGCCAGTGATTACCACCTTCTGTTATGCTTTTCAGTGTCTTTCTAGAACTGATTTTTTAAAAGCCAGTGAGTTATTATCAGTCAGACTTGTCTTTTTTTTTTTTTTTCCCTCCCAGTTAGGGGGTGCACTTTTAACAAAAATACAGTGATTAACGCTAATGGAGCAGGGTCCTGTGCCTGGCTAATTCTCTTTAGACTTTGTGATTCTAGTCCCCAGTTAGACACATGGAGGCAGCAGCATCAGTGAGTTAGAACTGAAAGGTCATATCTAAAACTCTCCAGAGAAAAGGGAGAATGTGAGACTAAATAACCCCTTTGTGCTATGACAGGAGGGAGATAATTTCTTCCCCAGAGGGATGAAGCAGAATTTCATCCCTTATCTTTAGGATGATTTGTCACTAGTCTGAGTTTAATGGAACACTGTGCTGCAGAAATCATTTCTTCTAGAAAGAGCCTTTTAAAGCTTTACTGACTCATGGAAAATTTTGTGTCCTTAAATTATAGCTAACTCTCTGGTTTTGTCCCATTAGGATATATATGGGCATAGAAGCTTACACATAGTTCAGGTCCACATCCTTGTGTCTGATTGGGAGTAACTGCCCCATGAGCACTGGGTACAGTTATAGTAACTAGGAAGTGTGTTTTTTTAAGGATTAGAATCACCATTGTAAATGAGAGCAATAGAACATTCAAAGACTATAACACAAAAATCGTATGGGGATACTATATGTGTAAGGATTTCAGAATATCTGTCCTGGCTTCAGTCCTCGTTGTAATGCATCTTTCCCAGAATACTGTTTTATACATGCTGCTCCAAAGGGTGGATTTTAGTGATGAACTCAGTATGAATATTTAGATGGTGGCATTGTTATGAAAGTTGTTACTGTTTTCTACAAAATGAATCAATTTTGGTTATGATTAGATTTTCAGAATGTATTGCCTCTTGATAAATTAAGCACAAAGGCATATATATATAAATATGTATAAACACACATATATATTATGTGTATATATATAATGTAAATAAATATACATATATAACCATGCCAGGTGGAGGAAGGGGAATGTATACTATGTATGTTTCTCATTGACTTCTGTTCAAGACTCATTATCTGGAATTTTATTCTGGCTCATTTTTTTTTCTTTTTTTTAAGGTTATAGATAGAAAGACCTTGTTCCTTTATTTAAAGTGTTCATTGGGTGGATAATAGTAATAGCATCTACTAGTTAATGAGTACTCATTTTGTGCTAGGCAACATTCTATTAACATCCTATGGGTTTCAGTGCATCCTACAGTAGAAAATGGCAGAGTTGGACTTAAACTGAAATCTGGCTGATGGTGAGGTCCACTTAACCATTCAATTGACTTCTGTTAAAAATAAAGGAAAGCATGTAAGTCATAAAAGGGAAAAAAAGCAGTTAAACTTCATCAATAAGATGCCATTTATTTATAAAATGACAAGAAAAGATGTTTCCAATTTCATAGAGAAAATAAGAGCATAATTATATGCCATTTTTACATAGAATTATGAAAGCTGGTTATATAGTCATAATTTGCATTTCCACCCATTCTCTCTGTAAGCAGCTATTGCCATTTTTTTCTCATACACAAAAGCCTGTATCTGAGACTACATCTTCCTTAGGAGCAGAAAAAAGGCAGCTTTGGAGCAGATTCTCCACCTTTCTGGGTTTTGCTTTCCAGATCAGTATCGGCTCTGCCTCCTTGCTTGCTTTGATCTCTTGCACCTTCCTACTTCACAGCTGGTTAGACAAAAGATTTTTGCTGAGGATTTTCATTTCTCAAAGGCCACAAACTCAATGTGCCAAAATATGACTTTGTTTTCCTATAACTGAAATGAATACCTCTCTTGAGCCTCTATATTCTCTGTTGATGTAAATTTCACCTTAATTCAGCATGTTTCCTTCTCGTTCTCCTACTGCTGGGGACACATCTTCATTCAAAGGCAAAGTGGGTGGGCACCAAGGTAAATGACGTAGTGTCACAGTTTTGTGTACTGAGTTGTGTCCTGGT